CCTGCATTGGTCGGTCTGCGTGAGTCGGTCTTCTGCTGCTAAGAACGACGTGCGATTCAACAAGCAAGCAGAAAAGGAAATAATAGAGGGAGAGTAAGTTTGGCCGTCGCGGTGAAGAGTTGAGGTTGTCAGGCAAAGGGGCCGCACTAGCCTCTGGAGCACGCACGGACGGGCGCGGCTAGGTCTAGGAGATTCAATAACTTCCTCACGCCAGACAACGAGCACGTTGCACGTTGCCCTGCCTCGCCACGGTGCAGCAGCGTCTTTATGCCATGGCCGTCTGCCTGCGCCCGCCCAGCGTGTCGCACGTCTGCAGCGTCTTCGTGGCCGCTGCCTTCCATCTTCACTCAGGGCCACTTCCCTGGCGCGGCTTATCTGTCCATCGTATTCACGCAAATCTTGGTAGCCGATGGCCCGTTGAGCTTCATCCGCCCCCGACCAGCGACGTTGTGAACAGAACATGTCAACATGACCCTCGCCAGCTTCACTTTGACCCTGGCCGCTCCCCCGGTCATATATAGTGCTCGGGCGCAGCCGATATAGGGAACAATATCGCGGCGGCCAATTTGCACCTCTAACCACATGCTGATCCTGCGACATTCCCACCCTGCCTCTCGGAAGCTTCTCGCTGCATGGCAACGGGTCACTGCAGAAGGAAGTTGATGCCAACGTCACGGCTGCCTGGGCCAATTCCGAGCCGGCAAAGGGTCTGGCAGGCGTGCATCATGATGCGCATTCTAGCGCCCACGAAACAACCACGGCCGACTTATGATAACTGCGTGCAATTTGTCCTGTCGTGGGTTGTGTGCTTCGACGCGTTGCGTTTAGGCCGAGCAGATACGACGCGATCTGGTAAACACTTACGAATTCGCACCTGCGAGGGGAGCTCCACGGCCAATCCGCTTGCGCGACCCGGGCGCGACCCACACAGCGCACCTGCGGCTCAGCCGTTTGCAGCAGTTGGTGAGTAGCGGTGGGCACATCAGTTAGTTGGCCGGCTGCGATAACGATGCTCCATGGCCCAACTCTCGCCGTCTCGATGCTTCACCGACATGTCTCTACCCCGCTCCTCTGCGCGCCAGTCTCCCGTCCCTTTGTTATTTGGCGGGACGACCATGCCAGATCCTCTAGGCCAGGCGTTGCTGCTTGCACATGCATGGCACCATTTCAGAGGGTCCACGGCACTACGTCGGGCCTTCCGCGAGACTCGTGCAGGATCGCATCCCGTGATGAAATTCGCGGATTGCGATGTTCCCAAGGCGTGGGGAACGGGACGAGGATGCTCGGCTCAGCGAGATGAGAACTGTTTGATGTGCATTGCAGAGGCACAACATCATTTCCTGTAATTGCGCAATTGCAGTCCTGCCCATTGCCATTGTCCTCGTGTCTGTGCACACAAAGCAGTCGTGCGCGTCTTCGTATCTTCTGGCGTTGGAGGGCGGGTTGGCTGTCGGTGTTGCACCATGTTCTTAACGTCCCGCTTTTCTCGCCAGGATGACGCGATCGTCAGAGAGACACGATCAGTGCAACTTCTATTTTGGGCATGGTGACCAATCAACGACTCGTGTGGAGAAATCGACGAAAATCTCCTGCTTCTTCGGGAACCATCCATCACCACCACCATGCGTCCTCGCCATCACGTCCTTGTGTGCATTATTTCTCCTCGCGTCCCTCGGCAGTGAACCCCGAGAGCACCGTTTGCTACTGATGCTTGTCGCTAAACTCTAGCACAACGCATTTAGAATTGACTTCGCGCATACTGAAGCTAGCTCTCCGAGCTGGCGGGATTGCGGACGTAATCGCAAGGAACCGTCCCTCTGGATCACATTTTCATCGGCTCTGTACTGAGACGCGACTCCGGCATTGAGACGAAAAGTTCTCTACATTACCTGACTCTCTATCCAACAATAACAAGACTTGGTTGACTGATTGGCCGGTTGGTAGGTTGTCCAGAAGCTCTCAGCTCCCGGGTTGCTCCACTGCATATCTGGGGTATTGTAAGATTCAACATCTCCACGCAGTCCAGATCTTTCCATGGCTGTGATGCAATCCAAAGTTGGTCTTTGTCCATCCGCGGCAACCACGAACATGTAATCGTGTCTCATCACATGCGACCCCAGCTTGGTTCTCTTGCCTCCACGCGTCCATCTACCTGAAACATTCCCAACGATTCTTCGGGGAGAAAATTCTAGCAACCCACCAATCATGTATTTTGTCAGCTTACCCGTCTGGCACCCCACAAAAGCCCAATCGCTGTCTAGACCGGCCAAGCCCGCGCGACGAAGCTTTTGTGGCTACTCTGATCAACGTCACACAAGATAGAGCTCTGTACTAATGACGCAGCCTGCGACTCTACAACCGCTATAGCCAATCAGGGCGTGCCTGGGCTCAGTATTTGTGGCTTGGATCTCTCCTCTAATCGTCGATTGCCGTCAGCCGCTGTCTGCGGCATCTCGAAGGTTCATGCAACTGAGCGCCACGGATCTGGAACTTCTGTCCTGCTGTAGTCAACTGTGTGCCTGCTTGCGCACAAGCGTTCAGTCTTATTGTTGCACAAGACGAGCATGTCGGCGTGTTCCATCACTTACAACGCACGAAGAACTTGACGGACTCCTTGGCTAGGAGATGGTACTTGCCTACTTTGTGTCAACTTACTGGGTAAGAAGAGAAGGCGGTATATAGCGCTGACACTTGCGAGGCTAGACTTCTCGAAGTGACCATTACGATTGGATTGACATTCGCGTTCTCGTTCTCGTCAACTCCATGCGTCGAACTAGCTTTTGAGTGAGTAAGCTAGTGCAAGTCCTGGTGGTGACCAGAAGATTGCTTTTCAATTGCTACTACTTCTTGGGCAGTCGAGTCGAGGCAGGTGCGGCTCTGGCGAAGCTGGAAACGCAAAGAAGTCTGGTCAATGACAACGATCGTTGGACTATTGCGTCAAATTTCACCGTTGTTGATCTTGCTGGTATGACATCACGGAGCGACACGTCAGCCTTGTACCGTTGAGGAGCCAGCGAGCATCGACCGTTGAATCGTATATCCACACTTTGCTCACCGTGGTTTCAGATCCAAGGTTATCTGATCGACATGAACGGGTATCACAATCTCCCGAACCTTAATCTCACTCAGGATGACGCAGGTTTGTTTATGTGTGTCAGGTTGCCTGTCTTAATTGCCTTAACAGAGGGCGACCTGGTCGCTGGGACGGGTGGATATGTGTGAAACATGAAGGCCGATTGCCGTCGGTCTCGCGATCAATTTCCTTGCCGTACATCATTCCACGTTCAGCCACCGGGAGCAGAGGGAGATCGTCAAAAGCCTACTTGGCATCGGACAACGGCTCGTCAGATGTATAACCAATTACCGTGACTCGTACTCTACATCAAATGTGAGAGAGGAGGTGTTGGTGATGGGTGTGGAGATTGCAAAAAGAACAGCAGCTACGGCGACAACAAATCAGAGCATCAAACACGTCTGAGATGTATCCCCGTGTCCCAAGAAGCGGCAAAAGCGCAGAAAAAGGCAAAAAGAAAGCAAGCGAAGCCCATGGGGATCGACTGTATCATGTTAGTACAGATGCTCGAACTATCGGTCTTATGGAGCAACTTACACCCACAACCTTTGGTGTTTATGTTTTCAACCGAAAACCAACGCGCTACCATTGCGCCAAGGCTCCTCTTTAGGAAGTATAGAAGACTGAAGCGAAATGTTCTGTATATATTGTCGGTTCACGAAGTCGCATTCGACACCATGCCAGCTTGGGAGCCGACAACTAAGCGCAAAACTGGAGAACAAAAAAGTCGAAACATAGTGACGACCGCCTGCAGCATACCCCGCTGTTAGAAGTTTTCGGCGCGTCGTCAAACAGCGATTGGCGTTCATTGAGCCCCACCGACACGTGACATCCGCGGGTCTTCGCAAAAAGACAATTTTCTCAATCAACACCACCAACACGACAATCGCGACACTCACCACGGCCTGTGCAACAGCAAAAATGCATCGGCCGGGAATCGAACCCGGGGCTAGCCGAAACTGTCCTGTGATGGATGGCAACGGCTAATTTTACCACTAAACCACCGATGCTAACTGAACAACTGGGGAGTGGTCGTTTGATGAAAGTTTTCGCGTTAGGGATAAATATATCAGTATTGTGTTACAGAAATCAGACGTTGGAGGCGAGCAGAACTTGGATTGTTTAAAACAGAGTGGGGAGTTGTTCAGGGGTGGTGAAGGGTTTGACTGGGCTGTGGGTCTGGAACACTACTAACATGTAGTACTAAGCTGCTGTCTACCCCTCTCTCTACAACGGACACCCGCAAACTGAAGTTCCTCAACAGCATCTACTCGTCCTAATGGCGCATACAGTTTCAGCTGTTATAAGGACGTCGCATACTCGATCCTAAGCCATTCACATAACGCGTTTATATTTGAACTCATCCCAGTATTGCAGACTTACGACTGTGACACTGGGATATGTGTCGATGTAGAATTCCATGTTGCTTGTCAAAGGTAAGACTGCCCAGGGGTGGTAATTACGATCGCAGTAAGAACTGGCATAGATTGTAGAGAGATTTTCGGTCTTCCTTTGACGTTGCATCGTCTTGCGTCCTGGATTCTGCAACTACAGATAGGGCTGTCACACTGTTTCTATCGCTAGCGAACAGCATCACAAAATCCTCATGCGAACGCCAACCGTAACCTTTTCTGTCCGTGGCCAATAGTTACGTTACCACATATGCGTCATATCTTCCTCGCATAGTTACAGGGCGAATTGTGGCGGCGGCTGAGCGCAGACGCACGAGGCTGAAGTTCAGCCTGGTGAATCAGGTTGATATAAAATTGGAATGATCTGCCCTAAGTGAGCTAAAGGATCTGACAACCTTCCTTGTGGTTTTGTACATCGTGAAGCAGAACAGATTTTGATTGCCGTACATACGCAGTAGATGTTACAAATATCGACACAACTCACGTCTACTTTTCATGCCCAAGCTTGACAAGCCATGCCAGCCACTCGGTCCAGTAAAGACTTGTCAAAGCATACTGCTTTGTTGAGAAATTTCCTTCAGGCGACTTGGAATGCCTTGTGTAGCAGCAGCAGCAAAGGATTTCTAGAGGCACTCAAAACTTGGATCTGGGGGGAAGAGACTGAACGCCAGCAACATATTTCACGCGCCGGTTGGAGGCACGCTATCACTCATTGTGGTGTGCACATCCTCCCAGTTCTGGCGGTTATTACGCTTTCTTGCTTCAATCTCGTTGGGTTCTTCATCGGTGGCATCCTCCAAGGCCTCGTCGATGAAACTGCTCAAACGATTGACCTCTTATGTCTTCAGGTCACCGCGAAACTACTCGTAAGTACACACGCAGCCCTGTTGGATACAAAGTAACCATTTGACCAGGAGCTGCTCATCATAGCATCACTAGGCGTCATTATCATGGACGTCGTTCGAAGTCAGTTGCTTGCTGGCGACGAAGGCATACCTCTCGGCCTTCTTACCGCCAAGTTTCGCTTCATAGACATAAGCTACCTGGTGTCGCACGATTTTCGTGCCGGTACTTTGGGATTTCAGAGCCTCCGCCTCCGCCTGTCATTCATGCTTCTAATTGGCACATCGGCGCTGATATCTGTTTTTGCGGGACCATCGACTGCGCTATTGCTTATACCAACCTGGCACGAAGCCTGGCCCGCTGGTAGCTCTAAGTTCTGGATCAACGGAGATCTTCAGCCGTCTATGGTTGATAGGTCGTCGTCCTGGGATCCTATTTGTTCCGACCCCACAATGATTACGGGTCAAACGAGTTCAATCAACTCTTCCGTGGCATCCTGTATCTGGGCAGGCTATCCGTATCTGGCCGAGGCTTTCAGGCAAAGAGCCACAAGCGGTGAGCGCACCCTCTCATACAGCGACGGTTCGTTCAGACGTGACATAACCCTCAATTGGGGAGTGCCAGATTCAGATACTCCGAGTGTCTGGCTAGACACCGCGAGAGTGGCCGCCTACGCAAGCAATTTAGCCATTGGGGCCTTTTCACAATACATGAGCCAAGAGTGGTGCACGGCGCTTTTTCACGCTCGAGAAACAGGCGCTGGAAAGCTCTTATCAAACCTCAGATATCGCGCCTTCAACAGCACAAAAGGAAGCGTCAAGGGCCAGGTCCCTGTGACTCGCGCACAATGCTTCGAAGCCGACAATTATCTCCCAGAACCAGTGTTGCGAAACGAACAGCCCCAAGGGCAGGTCTTGCTGCCTGTGATACATACCCCATTTCCCATATACAGGTTCTGGTCTGACAGACTTGCAGTTCCCAATTATTCCCAACTTCTCCGGGCGTCGCGACCTTCGATACTATATTCCTGTTCGATATCTTAACACATCTGAGTTGGTTACTCACTGGATCTCGATACCGACTGGTTTCTCACAAACTAATTATGGCGAGCAAATAAATCGATACCCAAGTGGATTTCTTGTCATCCAGAACTACAACTTTGGCTACAGGAGGTCAGCGATCACATGTTCAGTACACGCAGACTGGGTGTCAGGCACCAACGTGGCCAGTGGACTTTGCTGGGGTCAGCAACGTTCCATTCAGCAACGCGCCGTATTGGACGATGTGGATTCAATAGATTTGTGGAGTATCACAAGCCAACAAACTCCAGACCGGCCTGTGTTCAACGCAGCCAATGGTTGGCACAAGATCAACACAACCACGAATTGGCTCGAGAGCTTGACGCCCAAAATCCAAGGAAGTTCGACAAATCAAACCACCCTGGCTTCTGTTATAGAGCAGACACAATCTCGCGACGGCGAATCAGGAGCAGTTGGACAAGTGAAGTTGGATCGTTTTATTACAATAAGCGCGATGGTAGCTAGTTTCGTATCAGACGGTCTTTCCCGTATCGGCTACACCGAAAACTACGCAGACGATGTTAATGAGGATAGAATATGCAACGGCGATAGCCCATCATGCCCATGGAACTGGGACCGATGGACATGGTCGCAGATCTGGAGCGACCTCATTCGAGGCAGGGCAGAGCTACACCCCGACGAGACACATCGCCAGCCTGGCAAGAGCTACATCTGGTATGCGACCGTTGCAGGTTACGGAATCAGGGCGACAAGCACAGCATACTATCTCGCGCTCACTGTTCTCTATATATACCTCGTCCTTGTAATCACTCACGTTGCATACATCTTTAGTAAGAAGGGACAGACCAGCGATTCGTGGTCTTCTCTTACGGATCTCCTCGTCCTTAGCCAGACGTCACCAGCGCCACAGGGTCTCCAGAACACATCCTCGGGGGTGAAAAGCCACGCAACTATGAAGTTGAAGATGCGAGTGAAGGCCAACAACACGGTGCCGATAGGAAAAGAGAAGTTGCAGTTGCTGGTCGGATCAGATGGCCTGGCTCCAAGTCTTAAGAGAGTCACGCCAGAAGAAAAGTACGGTGCCCAGACCTGAGTGATATGGTGCCTTTGTATTGCATTAGGAACCATACTTATAGCTTCTGAAGTTCTTACCATCATTCAGAACCCCTTGTTACATGCACTTTTCTTATGATAAGCTCACTCATCCTTCGAGAAGAAGCCAACATCCCCACTTTCCTTACCCATCTCCACAAGCTTCTCTCTCATCTTCTTCGCCCTTGCGGCCATCTCGGGCTCAAAATCGTCAAAGTTGTATTCCTTCGCCCAATCACCAACACCGTGCTGTAGCACGTTTCTCGCTCGTTCGCTCCCCGCCAGTGTTGTCCCGATACTGCCATGTAGCGTCATCCTCTCTTTCGTGCTGTCATATACGCCGCGATGAAGGATGTTGTTATTGTAGAATGCAACTTCCCCTGCTTTCAGATGCACAGTAAGCTGGTCGGGCACATGTGCTTCGTACGGATCCGCATTCCTCTCTGTGTCAGTGCGTGCACGTTTGTGCGAGCCAGGCACAAGGACTAGACTGCTGTCATCATACAGTGCAAGGTTCCACTGTGCGTGACGCCCTGGCTTTTGCAGTCGCTCCAGCTCTTCTTCTGATGTTGCTGTCGCTGCGATGTCGTCTCTATGCCACCGCAGACTGAAATCTTTGTCCGGCCGGACAAGCATGTTGTACAGCTCCATGGTCAGATCGTCTTCTCCGCAACCAATTAGTGCTCCGACATATCTCAGTAGCTCCCTGTCGAAATACGACTTTGCGAACGTGAGATGATCTGAATTTGACGGGTGAAGTAGATGCTGTACGCCCCTAAGTGCGATATACAAAGTCAGTGTATGTCTCAAATACAGTCAGAATGGGATACTTACCATATCCCACTTGAGGGGTCCTGTGGCCATGGTGGAAACTGCTTCGGTAGCGTACGTATATACGGCCACTTTCCAGTTCGTGCTGCTTCTGTCATACGTGAGGCAGCGGCGCGAAGGGCATCAAGATCAAAAGATGGAAATAGCGAGGCAGACAGAACGACGAAACCATCGCGATCGAGAGCTTCGCGAGCTGCTTTGTAGGGATCTGTGCTTGACGAGGTGATGTTTGGTGAGTCTGGAGACCCATTTGTCGCCGTTTTAGCAGCTGGTTGCGCTATCGGCAGCTGTATTCTAGCCTTTGCGCTTCCTTTCGGGCCGCCCTTGTCAGGTTGATGTTCGAACTTCCGCATCTTCCTTGCACTAGATTTGGGATTCTCAAGAACACTTGTATGGTTGCAGGGCTGTTGTACGTTCGACGGCATAGTTCGAGATCGCTATCTACCAAGGCAGGTACGTATGCTACCCCGCAAATGCTGTCAGCCCCACGATGATACTCATCCATTAACACGAAGGCAAATTGACATCCACCTCCAACCCAACTTAACTCTACAGAGGCTTCATTGAATCATCGCCACAAGCAAACAAGTATCAGGTGATGCAATTGTGAGACCTGTTAGACAATTCAGGTGAATGCATAGCTTAACGATCCCTAAACGTAACGTGCCGGCCAAGTCATCACTGGTAAGCTCGTCCGTCGCTTCACGTAGCGGGTGGCTAAAGTTTATACTCCTTGTTGTGCTTGACCTATTTCGCTAGGCCATAAAGTCGTTTAATACTTTGGCATCTCCGGTAGGTCCGAGGTGTTGCAGAACCAAGTCAATTTGTGAAACATCTCCCAAGGGCCAAGCCGTGCGCACGAGATTGTTCCTCGAAAGATATGTCTGTTTTTGAACGCAAATAATGCTGATATAATGACTATGTCGCTATCTAATCATCCCGACACGTTGCAGCACTAATCGTGCTCCTGTGGCTCTTCATAGCACACAGTAACTAGTGAGGATTGGTCACAAGAGTACTTTCGGCACCATCCTAGCTCGAATTACTAAGCCTATACTCCCCTCGAGAGAGCCTTTCGTATACCACTCGACTTAGACTTTGGAACCGTTCTCAAGGCAGCCTCAGCTACGTAGTCGAAGAGCTCCGAGAGGCCTTGCTTCTTGATGGCCGATGTTTCAAAGTATGCTAGAGCTTGTATCTTTATTGCAAGCCGGTCAGCCTGTACTCAGGGTTAGTATTTGACGTATACCCAGTCGATCCGAACTTACGGCATATGGAGATACCGGTATGAAGTGTTGACGGCGTAGGCTGTCGAGCTTCGCGTTGTCATTCCGGAGATCTTTCTTACACCCAACGAGTATCTTGGGTAGATCGCGGAGGTGTTTGTTCGCTTCAGGGCTCCACTAGTATCGTCAGTCCCAATGTACTCATACTTTTGGCGCTTATCTGAACATACCATATAGTCAATATTTTCAAACGAATCTGGATCACTGATGTCGAAGCAGATCAATACTATGTGCGCATCCTCGTATGAAAGGCGGCGCATCATCTCGTACCCCTCTCTACCGGTGTTATCCCAGATGACAAGCTCGATTTGACGATCCCTAATCTTTGTCGACCTGATGAAGTGGTTCATCACAGGTGTGTCCTCTTCTGGAACATCCCCTTGACTCCATGCACTTGCGAGGAATGTTTTACCACATAATGTATCTCCTAGCAGTATCACCTTCCGTCGTATTATGGTACCTTTTGGTGCGTTCAAGTTTAGGTAATTCAACGGTGTCTGGTGGCGGTCATATGGTAGACGCGCAAAATCGTTGGTCGAGCTGGGAGAATAATCGTTTCTGTTGGAAAAACATGAGCGACACCGACCTTCACTCATGTACTGAAGAAGGTCTGATTTGCATTCATTACACGCCCATGTGCCTTCCGGTGCGGTAGATTTGCTCAAGGAGGAAGGCTGAACTGCCGAAGGAGACACTGTTGTAATCGTCTCCTGCCCGACGTATTGGAACTGTGAGGATTGAGATGGAAAGGTGGTCGCGTCGATGTTACTGATGAGACGGGTTGAGATATCGTCTCTAGATAAGTCTGGCGAATAACTGGCATTGATGGGATTCGAGACACTTCTTGTCGAAGTATGAAGTGTACATGCACCATCTCTGTGTCTACGTTGCGAATGAAAGGGGAGTTCGGACAGATCCTTATCGCAATATAAACATACCTCTGCAGAAGTCGACAGATGAGTATCACCAGGAGTCCATTGGGGTTCCTTATCGTTTGGTAAAATCGTCGAGACGCTTGCGACAGCGCTGTGATGTGTTCTCGTGCCTTTCAATGCGGCGTACGACCTTGTTAGAAACTTCTCGACAAACCCTTGTCCTGCCACTTGGTTGGGAAATATTTTGGAATTAGATGCACTGCGCCGCACCTTCGATGGATTTATTGACTTCTCAGTGGTAGGTGTCGCCGCCTCGCCATTACCAGTAGGAGGTTCGTCTGTTTCTGCTGATATGGTAATATGAGGTATGTTCGTATCTGTAACCGGGGAATAGAATGAAGCATCCGTTTCATCTCCCCATCCCGTAAGTATCCCAATGTCGTGGTCACTTTGCGGAATAAAAACTTCTTTGTCAGAGCCAGGATCGCGTCGCGTCATTTTGTCCAGCGTAAGTACTTCGTCAGCATGAGAGATATACATCTCACACACTTTAGCGGCAGCAGCTTCTTTTGCCTTTTGTTCGGTCTCGTGGCCCGAAACCGTACAGCCGTGCGTATCATTGATCTTGATCATACAGTAATAACCCTCAACATGCCATTCAGAGAAGTAGTAAGGATCTCGGCCGTGGAACAGGTTACACCATGCTTTTAGGAACTCAGCATCCTTTCTTGAATCCCTCGACTCTTTCTCTGTCACTTCGTTTGCTGCAGCTCGGTATAGCATACAAATGAACTCAGCAGCTGCGATTTGAGCCCCGTGACCCTCAAGATGTGAAATATCTCCAAAGTCTGCTGGGCTCAGCATAGCTGGTAATTGCGGAATGACGCTTAGCCCGCATGTATCAGACGGCTTGTGCGACATACATACTTCCTCTTGTGATGCCAAAGTCAAAGCGTGTTGTTCTGACGATGTAACACTGTGACTGGACAGGGATTTCGTCTCGTAATCCGGACGAACGCTCAGATCCTCCATAGATGAATAAGGTCTGGAAATATACGAGGGTTGTTGTTCTGATGTAATCTTGTCTCTTTCGGTGACAGGCTCTGGGTCCTCTTGCAGCACGGTCTGGTCTGTACTGTGGAACTGGGATTTCTCAGGCAGTTGAACTTGGAGTTCACCAGGTGAAAGCACACTCGAATCCTCTGTGTCTATCAGTGGCACCTCATTACTCTCCAAGACATGCACATGATCTAGCGTCTCCTTCACTTGCTCTGAAACTTCGAAATTTGCTTGAGCGACATCCTCTAAGACCGGATCGGAAGCTGACTGAAACTTTGGGCTAACGCGCGACAGCGATATAACCTCAGGCGATGGAGCTGATCGCTTGGTCTTCCTCTCGTGGCTTGCCAACAAAGCTGTGTAAGCCTCTTCCTCATCCACTTTCCCCTCAGTGCTACAGATTCGAATCAAAAGGTCCAAGCATTCTTCGTAACCACTATTTCCCAGTTTTCCCAGTTTCCTGAATCCTCTCAGTGATCGCCGTGCCTGGAGGTGCGCCTCGACGTATTCGCCATTCTTCATCATGAGCTCCGCTAGCCTCAGAGTATCTCGTAGATAGAGCTCATCTTTCTTGCCTAATTGGCGTTCGGTGATGAATAGCTTATCTTTCATGATTGCTTTCGCTTTGCCCCACGCTTCCAGAAGACAGTAACAATCGAGGAGACATTCGAGTAAGTCGGGTATTGACACTGTGTATGCTGCTGCACTCTTTGCTGAGGTCAGAGATGTGTAGCGAGTATTCGACGACAGCCTCGTGAGGCAGTTTCGAAAATAGCGAACCGCACTTTCTAGATCACCAATGTCCTTCCTTTTTCTACCCTCGTTGAAAAGAGACCTGATCAGGTCATTCTCTATATCTGAGTCGCTATCTGACTGATACTCTGTTTGTGCATCTCCTGTGCTAGCTTCTGATGGAGCGGGTAGAGGTGCCTCCACATCTTCGAATTCATACACGGTGTTTGAGGCAAACCAACGTAACATGGGTTCATTCGCGTCTTTGACAAAGACGTCTCCGAAATCAGAACCATGTTTGACGGAAGTCTTGTCACTTGTTTCTGCGTTGAGCGTTGTCGATGCAGTTGAAACGACATCAGCGGCTGAGCGAACGCACTCCCGCAAGTTGTTCATATACATAAGCTCGTAGTTGTCTGGGTCATTTTGGTCTGTAACTGTATGCTGAAGCTTTTCGATCTTTGCATTGAGAAGAGAACCAAATGTACGAAATTCATCGTACAGTTTGTCCAGTGTCGGAACAACCTTAACTGGTATCATCTCGGTCGATCTTTGGAAAGTCACTTGATTCCAACTGAATTTTGTGTCAGTGTGAGAGCGGCAAAACGAACATTATGCATTAGAGGGTACACTGGTTCGCACTACGTGCTCCAACACAAGTGGAGTAAGCAGTGATAGCAGCCACGTGATGGCATGGAGGAGGCTGAGAGCGGGGTAACAAACATCCCCAGAAGAACCGACTTACAGAATAATTGTACTGAGCGATAGTTGAATCGCTGTGTGAGATGTTTGAATCTGTTCTCGGTATCGGGCAATCTGGTCAGAGGCACTCTTCAGCCTAAGCTGCTTTCGTGGTGCATCCAATATCGATGACTTTTTGTTGACCACGTCTAAGGTGGTATGTAACTTTTGTAAAGCGTCCGCACCGTCTTCGAGCGAGCGCGCAAGATTCTTCCAGTGACTACCCACATGACCGGTCGCTTGTAGAGTCTCTTTGTTGTTGTTTTCCTCGATCGTCTCTTTCATGGATTCCAGTACGCGCTGAAACCCGTTCACATCGTCGAGAAGGCCGGTAAGCGTCGCATCCACGACCACAACCTCATCGCGAAACTGTTTGATCAGCACCGTCACTTGAACAGAGACGTGTAAAAGCGTAATAATACTAGCAGTAATGGATAATGGATCCGCCATGCCGCATCATTGTCTGACGCGCGGCTTGACGCGAAAGATGTCAGGAGCATGAGATCAGTCCAGATGTATAAGGCACCAGTTTGCTCTGGTTGGGGTCGGTCGCACCCAGAGATGCGCGTGAGAACTCAGCCTCACATCTCGGAAGCCATATTGGCCCCCAACAGGCTGTGCAGCCGTCATGAGTGGTTGGCAACATTATTGAGGGGCTGGTGACGCATTGAGACGTAGGGGTGACGACTCCTTTTGCAAAATCGTTATCGGATGCTAAACATGAAGTTATGAAGCGATTGCAAGAGGTTCGAAATGTTGGAGTAGGAGCAGTGCCGAAAAGACACGGCAGGGGTTGAATGCCTCCACGATGACTAAGCAGCGCCGTACCTAGTCTTGGACATTATGAAGGCTGGCTTCCATCTACCCATCGCTGCGTCATGTCCCCCTATGAATGTAGGCTTCCGGTGACCAAGTAGATTGAAATCCTTAGTCTGCCGATATGACCTAGAGTAGTACACAAAAAGTTGAAGACGATGTATGTCATGAATGGGCATCGCTCTTTCCGATGCAGCAATCAGCACATGCTCAAGTGTCCACGGATACGCAGAGCATTCCAACCAGCTAATATTTATGATGGTGTATGTGGTTTCCAAAACAAGATATGTTCATTCTTGTTGAGCAGATATAAAAAGCAGCTCCAATTTACCTTCTGAAGCTCGATTCTGTACGCAACAGACTTGCAGAACAATGTGCGCAAGAATTTTAGAGATCACTCATGCATAATATAGACCTCAGTGATAAGTTCTCCGGTCTTTCAATATAATGGTCTTTTATGCGAGGCCTGCGCCAACTAGCGCAGTGACCTGTTGCCTATACTTCCATTTGTAAGCATGATGGACGCCTTATCGAACCACTCCAGCCAACTCTTGTTTAATCGTACACTCCAGCAAAGACAGGTCATACCAGGAACGCTAGAAACCGTGTAGTATCACAGCATGGTACGAAGAACAGACCCCAAGGATGATGAATGGAGAAATGTTCGAGATGCAAAGAAGAGGAAGCAAATACAAGACCGGTTAGCACAACGTGCACGACGTATGTATGAATTGCCGGATGTGTAGTATGAGGATACTAACTCAAGATACAGGGCAGCGATTACGACAAGCTCAGCTGGATACCAGATTGTCAGTAGCGCGACTGCCCCAAGACCAATACCCAACATCTCCAAGGGCCCTTGTATCACTGGCGGCGCCAATTGAGGATGATCATAACTCACTCGCACTTGTTGGTGCTTCAAACTCACTTTTACCATCACCTGGTCACTTCAACGAGTCACGTGTTAGCGAACTTAACCAAGAGTCGGAAATACTTGTCTCCAGCCCAAGTGAGATACCGTATTCAGAACTATACGCCACTCTATACCCTTTTATTCAAATCTCCACTCCCTTGACTGTGTTTTCTGCGCTCTATATGAACGGCGATATCCAAGGCATCACCTGCGCCATATCATACTCCTCGCGCACACCCATGCCAAAGCCGCACATCCCTTTGCCCCTACATCCGACAGAGCTACAACAGATGATTGTGCACCCACGATGGATCGATCGGCTACCATTTCCACGAATGCGGGATAGTTTGATAAGACTGAGAGGTGTGGTGGATGAAGAGGAGTTGTGCAAGGATCTTTTTACTATGCCAAGTTTTACTATCGACATAGGGTGCGCGTGTTGGGATCCGAGTGGTTGGAGGATGGAAGAAGAGTGGGTGAAAAAATGGGGATGGCTAATGATCTAAAAAGCTACCAGCACGGGTAGAGTAAAGCGTACTGCGAACGAATCGGAGATGATGAGAGGCTTATGTGAGGGGTCTACTAGGGCAGTTTTCTATATTGCGAATGAGCTTTGTTCTCCTAAAGGCTTTTGAAACCGCTCAACCATCAACCTTCTTTCCCTCGCCTCCATCAAAGAAATGCTCGCCAGTTTCTAGCACTTCGATCTTGTCGCCTACCGCGACGGTTCCCATATTCAATGGCGTGACTTGCATACCCAAACAGGCATTCTTGGATCCTTGGTCGATGATCCTGTAACTCCTCAATGTGGTCAATGGCTCATTCTTGTCGGCTATAGCGGTTTTTGGGTCAACGTTTGGCAATTTGCATCTTGTTGTCCGACAGGAGATGTGCATGTCTAGGGAGGATGTAGAACCGGATGAAGTAAGTTTCGCCTTCTTCCAGTTATCCTCAGCAAAAGCAGGGGGTCCAGTGATGTAGATGTTTGCGCGGAAGCGTAAGGCGTCAAGGAGGGTAAGATGCCGCTGCCAGATTTCCCCAAAATCGGAGGAGGGATTGGGAAGCTTAGATGCTACGTCGTGGACAGAGGCGAGGTTCAAGATGTGAACAGGGTACTGTCAGGTAATTAGCAATGAGTTTGGTGTATGCCCGTGGGTGGTCCAAGGATATGGCTGTTGGTAAAGTCTATACGTACCGAGTCATGCATTCCAATGACCGTCTCAAACCCAACGTCTCCCTTCTTAGGCGCACATTTGTGTACCTCTCGGTAAGCATTTGCATCAATCCTGAACAGCGCAATTGGATTTGCCGCACCGAGAGTATACCTCAGCTTCTCGAATACCTCGCGGTCAATTTCCGAGCTAACGTTGAGTGCTACTGGGCTGTCCTTCCAGATGCGCAGGACTTCATTTCGATATCCCTTTTTCTCTATCCTCTCTTGTGGAGGGTTGAATGGTACTCTGAACTCCAGCGTCGGCTCCGATTGTCGGCTCAATTTCGCCAACATAATCCTTCCGTAGTTTATCAAGCCTTCCAAAGTGAAATCCGTGTCGGGGGAAAAAGGAAACCGAATTATCAGGCATCCATCGCTCTTTACCCATTCTCCATCTTCTTTGTAGCCTCTAGCCGAAGGGTCAGGTACCCAAATCTCAGTCTCGACTTTAGCGAGGCGAGGGAACTTTCTTTGGGTCATGAAGTGCCATTCACTTGTGACCTTTCCGTCAAGCGTAGGCAGACTCGTGACTTGTTGGGCAAGAGTAAATTGGCGGTCATACTTCAGCCCTGTACGATCGATATCACTCTTATCCAATTCGACAGGTGCGCCTGACTTTAGCGGGTAGACAAAGAGTGCCTTCACTGTCCATGGCTTCTGTGGGGTGGGGTCGCTGCCCTTGGCATATCTTTTCGAGTACTGGTCTTCCAGGTTGCTACGTCCTCGGATTCCGAGTTTCCTGCAGCCTGCTGGCGATGGCAGTGATGCTGGCGATTTAAGGGCGGCAAGAAGGAGTAAAAGTATCACAGGTGCGATACATGATACGGTCGTAATGAGGATCGTCTGGAGCGTTATGTTGATGCCTGCTTCCCGCAGTATGTTGTTGGCAGCAATGAGCACGTGCTCGACATTCTGCGCCATGCTGTCGTAGACGTTCACGTCGTCTCCGGAAGAAGAAAGTGGTGCGTGTTCACAAGGGGGATATAAGCCTGAGGAAGCAGCTCTTATCGTGAAAACATGCCAAGGTATAAGTCCAAGCAAATTGGTTGACGCTAGGACGCAGAAGGCAGGTGTTGTCGTATGAGTATGAAGGACCAGGTGGTTCGAGACCGTGTTGCAGTATACTCTGTTGACACAAGATGGGCGCAGTGGTGAGAAAGCTTGGGATGACGAAGGGAGAGGGCGTGCGAGTCATGAAGCGCGGTTCGCTATTGCTCGTGACGAAATAACTTGGACACCACCACCCATCCGTCCTCGACACTTCTCGTCCACGCCGTTCCGCACAGGACACGTCAAGAAACGCGAGACGTCATGCGCGTGAACGCGAGATCACGAGACTGTTGCACCACCAAGTCAAGCCGCTGAGACTCAATCGCAAGCCACGACACGACACAAGACGACACACCATGGCTAGCCAGCAAGCATCGCAGCTCCCCGCCTCGTCGCGTACGCAACTGCCTCGCTCACACATATCAATTGGAAGGCTTACACTGCAGCAGATAGACTGCCCACTGTCTCGGCATCCCAAGCCCTCCAGAGCCTCCATGCCCGCGGAGCTCGCACTGTGTCGACGGGCGTGCCGCAGCTCGACAAGGTCCTCGCCCCGCCGAGCCTACCGGGCCATCATGTCTCGGGCGGATACATGCGTGGGAAGGTGACTGAGGTCTTTGGCCCGTCAGGAGTCGGCAAGACAGCATTTGGGTAAACGTGCCTGCCTCACGGCTTCTAGAGGGACGGTGGCTGAAGGCATCAAGGATACAGGCCACAGTCTCTGCCCTGCACGAGCGCCAGCGAGTAGTGTGGCTCGGTGTGTACATATCAGCCTTGGTTATTGGGCACAGCGACTAATTGCTGGCAGATGCTGCTGGTGCGCCTCTGGTCAAGCAGCGCGTCGACGACATGCTCACTTCACGCCCCGATGCGTCCGACCTCTCTCCAGAGCAACTGCGTAGCCACTTCCACTACATTCCTGTGCCAACGCTTGCACATCTCCTCGCCCTCTTCGTGCATGCCCCCGCTGCCTTTCCCCCGCAAAACACTAGCCTGCTTGTCATCGACTCTCTCGCGACCCTCGTCGACAACGCCTACCCTCGCAACGTCGACGACCGCATGCCCAGGAAGAAAACAGATCAGGCGCGGTGGGCTGCAGGACGCCGATACACTGTCATAAATCAACTCATAGCCACCTTCACCAAGTTTGCTGCGCTGCACGACAGTGCGCTCCTAATCACAAGCCAGACCATCACACGCATCCGTGGTGGTTCGCGCGCATTGTTGGTACCCGCAATATCAGGTGTTGAATGGGAGAATGGTGTTTCCACTCGTCTGGTTCTTTTTAGAGATTGGCTCCGGCACGGGAAAGCCAGAAACAAGGCAGACGCCGACAGGCTGCACAAAGCCCGGTTTGCTGGCCTAGTCAAGGCGAATGGCGTAGCTCTGGCAGAAGAAGGGGGTGTGGGCAATGTGGTACCCTTCACCATCGACCATGTGCGTCAACATGTTACCTGCAGAGCCCTCATCTAACAAGATGCGCTCCAACGTCCGTTGTAGTCATCTCCCGCTGACACTATACAGGTTGGTCTTTGCAGCATCAACGTAGCAGCCGACGATATCACAACCCCTATTTATGGCCCACAAGAAGATAGACCGCCCAAAAGACCTTTCGCCGAGATCGATGAGCATGCCGATGCAGAGCCAAATTCCGACGAGCTCTATGGCTGGATCGAAGACGATGAAGTCGCCACTGAGGGGTTGATGATGGATGAAGCGCCTGTTGACGAGGATAACGCTGCAGGACAACGCCTGGATGTCGTCGCAGAGGGCCACAAGAAGAAAGTAATACGGACATCTACAGTGTGATTCCAGAAGAATAATTTCGCCCTACACTTCGGCCGAAGCCAAGTTTTGCCATGTCCTTACTTTGTCGCGACGCGCGTTGCTTATCGGGGAAGCTCTGCTTACATCTGGGGTAAGCTCGTATGTCTCCAATTACTCGTCGTATACAAGACACCCAGACTGACGGAGCTTTCCAATCAAGATGAGATCTCACACTCAGACCGATGATACAGGGCTGTGAGCCCATGAGACGGGTTTCGCTATTCAGCCGTGTGGGGTTATCCAGACACCCTGGGATGGAGAACACCCACACCCGTCTCCGCATTAACCCGCCCGCATTCGAAGCGCTCTGACATCAGCAACAAAGTGTCTCTCCGCGTCATGGTTCAATATTGTCCTCTTCGCATAATTCAGCTCGGACATGTATGTATTCTTCCGGCGGTAAATTTGCTCCGCATTCGTCATCCCTTGGAGCAGGCCTAGACGCAGAGCCTTGGGGGTTTCGTTGCCACACTAGCGGTATCCACGAAAAGCAACAAAAAGCAAGTTCATATTCCACAATAAGAAACCTATCAGCCTTCACACGTGCATGCGTCACCCCAGACCTTCGGTGCACACGCGCTACGCACAGGGATCGGGGAAGCTCCCGCAGACCCAAAGCCCTGGGTTCCTCACCGGCAGAATTCGTGCTTCTTTTGGATGATGATGGCTCGACGCTTCGCGAGTCCGGGGTCAGCGGGGTTGGTGTGTCGACCAGGCGTGGGGGTCTGCCACAAGCTTGCTCGTTTCAAGTTCCGGATGCATGTGGATGCACACACGGTAAGACCACCTGACAACATGATAGGAGAAGACCGCAAGAGCAGGCTGCTAAAGTGCGGCAATGGTATCATAGCAAGCCACTTATACGATGGCACTTGACTACCCCACAGTCGCACAAACAAACTACACGAATTCACCGGGGAAGCACCTATCTTCGATCCCGACTTCACAGTAAGCGGACATCCAGTACATTGCTCTATCGCGAAGAGCGCGTGTATGTGCGAACCTTAGGTCTTCTTTCCTGTCACCAATGAGCTACACAAATTCTACACGCTCTCCACAATAATCGGTATCTGTTGCACCATCCCAGAACCAAGCAGCCATGGCTTCAACGCATAGCATCGGCTTCACAGCAACCAGAGCCTCGCTTAACGCCAGACACAGAACGTTCTTGCTTTGGTATTAACCTTGCGATGTCACTGTTTCCCCACGCTTCTCCGCAAAGGCACTACTTCTTATCGCCTGCCGTTGATCTTTTTCCTTGATAAAGGCGGAGGTTGTGTAAACAGACGGCATTTGCGGCCCTAGCTCGCGATTGTCACTCGGTGTCCTGGGAACCGAGCCGCCTGGGGAGCAAGATCTTCGCTTCTCTTGGACGCCTAATGTGGGGATCGTGATACTGATCCTGATGTTGGTGTTTAGAGATTCGGCTCGATGCTATGCCTTCGTCTGTAGAAGGAGGTGTGGAGGGGGAGGGCATGTGTACGTAACGGGATTATAGATCGGGTAACCGTATCCGGGGAATGGAGGAATAAAGGTAAGCAGCAAGGCTGGCATTGTACACTGTTGTACATGGTGTATGCTGCAGTGGATTTTGACCAAGAAAAGACTTGGTGGCAAGCGCCGCTGTGATGAAGACTGAGGTTTAGATTCTCTCTCTATGACACCACGTATACACAGAAGAGTTTGCCGACATGTATACTTCGTAGTCTAACACGAGATTCTCTGTATGACCTTACTACGCGTCTACTTAAAACGATCGAGATCAACCTGCAAAGAAACTCCATTACGCTTTCGGGCTAGATACGCCTAATCGCTTTGCAATGTCTCACAACTTCATAGTTCCCCAGTTCAGGTTGTACGACTCTTACAAGGGGACATTTAAGAGACCATAATAATGTCCGAGGAAGGAGCATGAAGTTGACATAGAGGTGAAGAGTGATGTTTAGTTTCAATCTGTAGAAACAAAACGCGCGGGTGTATAATACAGTCACGCCTGTTCGTGGAAGCAAACAGTTCAAACCTATGTTTCCATTGCAGCAGAGATCATCAAGTCCGCATACGATCTGTGCATTGTTGTTACATAGACATTTGGTATGTTAAGCAACTACATATCACTTCTCATGTCCAGAGGCATATCAACTCTGGTATAGTGACCTCCGCTCAGTGTCAAGCTGAGGCAGAAGCCTTGGCGTGATAGTCGGTATACGTGTAACTTTCTGCTGAACGACTTTATGCCTCCTATCGTTAGCAAGGATATACATGTACGCAGATTCGCAGATTCGCAGATTCTCCCCGGTATCATCTTCTTTTTATTTGGCGTTAGATGGATTGCTTGCACGACAGCACAGACACGAGGCGAGAATCTTTGCTGCGTGGGCAGATAAACGACAGTCGCTCATCTCCCACATATCTGCATCAGTGTATTCGTGTGCACTAAGATAAGGCACAACGTGGACCCGACATATTTTACTTCCAATGTGACTTCAAACGTAGACATGCACATGAGATGGTGGGAAAACAAACCGGGACTACCGCCATCAAAATCTGTACATCATATGATCATGATCACAAAGAGTCCCATTCTGTCGGTTGACGACCTTCCCCGCTCGTCTCGCGCCTGGAAAGTTCCGCCATGAACTACCCTATACGTTGATCATGATCTTTATACAGCTAAGAGTCTCACGATAGTTCAAGTATGATTTATGTTAACCCCGGTCTCAGAAAGTGCGATCATCCTGGCGCGACGAGAATCTGCCCGGGACTAGAGGCAGATCGACAACACTATCCTTTCATCCGCGGGCTGCATCCGATTGATTATCCCCAGAAATTACGATCGTAGCTGCGAAGATCTATGAGGGGGTGATAATGGAATGGGTTACTGTGACACGTTAATGCCAGAAGAGTGTGGGCTCGTCTCGCGTCCAATACTAGTAAGAGTCGAAATTTTGAGTTTATCGAGCGCCGCAGCCGCATCTTGCAAGGTCGATCTTTTTGCGGGCTTGTGGAGATGGTAGTCTGACGTAGGATCGACATGTGCATAGGCA